ATATTCAACAATGTCATTAAATTCTTGTATGGCTAATGAACGATATATTTACCGTTCATCAGCAATTGATAAAGTTGTATCTTCTTTCATAATGCGTAATTGACGTTTATCTACTGATGAAAGAAAACCTTGTAATAAGTTGGACTTCGGATGGTGGTCAGTTCCTTTAGTAAAGCCAAAGTCAGGTAAATTGGAATTTGCTAATAATGCCATAAATTCCTTATGAAAAGCTTGAATTTCACGTTCAATATTTGTTCAATCTACACGATCCAATGCTCCAAAACCAAGAGGATCATAAAACCCAGGGTGCTAAAATTGAAGAAGAATAATGCTACATATCAATTTATATTCTACAAAGGTCTATGAGAAATAATGCAGCAAATAGAAAGAATGAGAGTTCCTAATAATCAATTAATCATTTGTTCTTTTCGAAAGAAAGATATGCCATCGTTCTAAGTTTCAGAATTGATATAACTATTGTTTGACAGCGGACTTATGAAGAAGAAGCAACCAAATGGTAAATGCGTTTAGTTAATCAAAAATTAAAATTGAACTAAGACATGAAATCGAAAATCAATTTACAATCTAAAAATCAAGGACGACTCTCAGTGATTATAAGACCGAAACCTAGCCAGTTTTTGTAGGAGAATATATTTTTTATATGTCCATAGATACATACATTATATCTTCTCATATTGTTTCCCTAGGTCGCAGTTAATTTTAAATAAAATTTTATATTTCTTTTACTGTCTCTTGTAAGTGATAAGTGATGAGGTTTCAATATCATAATAAATAATCTCAGATCTAGCTAACCATTTACGGCTACTAAAGGAGAAAATTTATCAATTATAAAACATTTACTGGCACTTTGGTAAGTGTAAGTGAAAGTGATAGCAAGTCTGATACCACTAATTTTAACTTCGAATTCAAAATGAGTTATTCGTCAGTTGTTGAAATCAAATCTCCTGATTTTTTAATGAAGACATTAAATACGACCCGAAGTGGGAGAAAAATACACTTCATATTTCGAGAAAAGACGATGTCATGGATGTTAGCATCTTTATTTGCATCGATTTGTATACTAATATTCAATTACTGACTACTTCTTTCAACATAATCTACTTTCTTAAGAAAGAAAGTTCAAGATGTCAAAAATAAGGGTTGAAGCTGTTCAAATTAATTTTTATGGAATGTAGTTCCTCATTTTGCTTCTTTCTTTTTGTCTGATAAGAGAGAAAATAATCTGTTGATTGTTTTCAAAGATCTCATGCGATTTTTTATACATTGGCCATACACAGTGATAAAATTAAATAAATAGCTTATCTTTAATAAATCATATTGATCAAAGTCATTTTCGAAATAATTTGTAAATTGATTCAATAACAAATCTTTCAATTGGTCAATATCATACTTACCAGTTCGTTCTTCGAGATATTCTTTCAGATTAGCAATAGCAAAATAGCCAAGTCCGATGATACTATATTTTTTACCACTGATCAATTTTGTTGCCTCGAAGAACGATAGAAGAACTTCTTTAACATATTCCATGCTGTAGCCCATTCTTCTCAATCAAGTTCAAATTTAAGCAGTCTAAAAATTGAAACAAAATATTATATGTAAATGGCGTTAAATTTACAATGTACTGTTTAACACAAGTAATTGATGGAACACCTTCAACAGTACCTTCTTTCCAATTGTCATTAATTAAATCCGACGTCTGCCTTGAATCATCAGACATATCAGATTCTTCATGACTTAATGAATTTTCATTATCTGTTACATCAGGTTCATAATTAATTATTTCATCATCAACACTATTCGGTGCATTGTTAAAATCTTAATAAAAAAGATTGTAAAAATGAGAAAATGAAAGATGTTTTCTGAAAGATTTATTATTCTCTAAATAACAAAAAAGTTTTTCAATACTCACCACGTGAATTATTCGTATTATTGGTCACAAGACTAACATCTTCAAAACTTTCATCACCTGCTTCACCAGTAGTCGCTGATTTATCCATTTGTTGTTCTTTTACCCATAGACAAAGTGAGCTACATGTCACCAGGTATAGTTTGTGTCCTAAGCAATGTAATCTTTTAGATTTAAGTGATTTAAATGATTTACGAATGTTTGATGCATCGTCACATGTTATTATGTGTTCTTTCGTAAACTTGTAGTCTTTTTAGTTCTTTTTTTAATGGTATAAGATATTTGTTCACCTGTATGTCGTTCTTGAAAAACGTTAAAAGATAAAACTTTAGAAAATAATTTTGAATCGGAATTCATAAAGTGTTCTGTCAAACACATGCATGAATTTAATTTTTCATCTGACCACATATCTGTAGTAACGGCAAATGCATCAATATCCTTTAATTCAGTTAACAGCAACTGAGTACGATTTTTGTGCAGTTTTTTTAACTGCCGTTGTACTGTTCGACGAGTAGGTGCTGTACAACCTAAGAAGAATATGAAAGTGAAAAATTGTAAATCGTTCATATGTTAATATCAAATTTAGTAAAAAAGGTTAGGCTTTGCTATATAAAATTAACGTTCGGGTGCCTGAAAGCTCAAATACAAAATTATCATGATGATTATTTTTTTTACTGAACTATAAAAATAAACTACAAAAGTATGTTAGAGAACAGGTTTTTCATGATGATATAGACTATGTTACCTTTTTTATTAAAGTTAAAGAGGCGAAAATGAAACATTATTGATCACTTTTTGATCAAATAGAACTCGTTAAAACCAACTTTGTACTGTTTCATCTTGAAACAACAAAACTCTAAAAGAATTGTTGAGAAATGTCCTGAACTTGAAGAGATTTTGAATAGCTAAGACACTTAGAGAGTAATCAGAACTGTAACACATATAAGCAGAGACGGTTGTTTTTATTTTTGTTTTTGGTCTAGTGCCAACCTTGAGTTCATAAAAGCAGAAAATATCGATATAGAAGTACTTCCCAGCACGTACAACATACCAAAGCCCTCGACTTTTACAAGACATATAAATATCAAGTTGCACGAGAGAGCTAAACTGATAATATTTTTTTCCCATTTCGATTCTGATAGTAGTCTCGATAATTTACCTGTTTTAATAAAGACTCACTCGCGTGATCTGTGAAAACGACCTGTTCGGAATCTTAAAAAGTAAAGGATTAAAAATACATTTTTTTATTGGCAACTACTAACTGCCAATTAGTTTGTACATATATAAATGTATACATATATTTGCTCATCTATATATGTAGGTATATACGTATGTATACGTTTACGTTTATATATGTATATATAACCATGATTCATTTTGAAAATCTTCAACATATTCGTTGAGACGTCTCAGACTCTATAAGTTAGTATTTCCACTTACCTGGTAAAATTTCTTTGAGAAGACGAGCCATTCCAGGCTTTCGCAAGTCACCAAAACTACGACCATCTTCGATAATACATTTATAAACCAATTCATGTAATTTTTGTTTCATATCATTACTAACCGATTTTTTGAAAATGCTATTACCAATTGAAATAAATTTTGAGACATTCATACAACGACGTAGATGCCGCGTAGACCAGATGTAGAATGATCTTTGCATGCAATCTCACGATTACAGTTTTTGCATTTAGCTTTACCGTTCTGTAGCTTGGTGGCATAATACTATACGTCTGATTTTACAGGTGAAGCATCAGCTTCTTGCTGTGTCTGATTACTTGATTGACTTTCATATGGTGTTTCATCAATTTTTCTTGTTGTGGCTATTGTATTTTTGGAATCTGATGATGCAGACTAAATTGATCGTCGTCCAGTTGTTAATGTAACAACTTCTTCATTCAAAGTGTTGTCAAGATATTGAGCTTCGCTTTTTGATCCTTTGGTTATTTTTGTGTACTCAAAAAGTGAGTACACTCTAGAATCGGTCAGTGTGTCCGTCCGGCCGGCCGTTAACACGATAACTTTTGAAAGGAGAGTCCAATCGCGATGAAAGTT